CAAATGGACATTCCCTTTAAACATGTCGCTTATCGACGGGAATGGATTGAGTGGGGTGTTGGATTCAGTCGTGCTTCTTAGAAATAAAAGTTTTCTTTACATTATAAGTGCCTTTTTTATAATTTTTATTAGTAATCTTATTTCGATTCCATGAAGTTTTATAATTTTACGCTTCTTATATTTTTAATGTGACTTCTTAAATTCGCATCCCGACAAAAATCTCTGCGTGGGTGTTCGTTGACCAACATCCCCATCATTTCCAAAAGAATGTCTCATGGAACCATATATGCTAATTCATCATCCCCTAATTTCGAGATATGTTTATTTTACTGAAGCCCAAAGGTAATAGCCGACTAGGCTCACTGCTGGTTACATGGACATGGTGATGACTGATGATCCAGTTAGTGAAAGAGTTTGGATCCCTGGGGACCAATGTGAGTCCACTCCAGTCTTGACCCATGAATCTTTAATTGACTCACTCGAGGAGCCTGCCTGTTCTGGTTTCAATGTCCGATTGAAATCAATGGCCATGATTCTTGGGCTAATACTCCACTTCTTCACCGGTTTTTTGGCCCAATACTGAGAGTCCAAAAATTATTTGACCCCATAGGGTGCTTATATTTTATTTTGTAATCTAAGGCAAATACTACAGTATAGGGAAACTCGTCATCACGATGTGATGAGTTCGATTAGATATATTATTTTAATGATCACAGTTAAGTGGGTCTCATGGGAGCCATCGCTTTAATATATTTAACAATTATTTTTTAAAAATTAATTTTAAAATTAATTAAATATTATTAAAAAAGAAAAAAATGGACGTGACGAGTTCACCTAAATAAAAAAAAAACTAGCCGTTTAGGGATGTTGGGCAACGGGTAATTACAACAGACAATTATCAACGGTCACCATGGAACTCATCACCTTGAGGTTACACCTAGTGACCTATATTTTGACGTTTCTATCTATCTCCGAAATTATGAAGAAAATGAGAAACCATATACGACGACACCAAAAGAGAGGGAATAATGGAACAACACAAGGCCATATTCACAAAGTCCAAGAAATCATCATCGTCTTCTTCTGCTTCTACCGATTATTTTGCATCTCAGGATATTTTTTATTTTTATCCTCCATATCATACTTCAACCGAGACTCAGCCGTATTGGGTTGGAGGTTCATGGGATGCAATGCAAAGCACTCAAGCATCTTCAACAAAATATGCGGGTGAGGGTGAATGGGATCATATGTATATGGTGAACAAGGTAGCCAAGTCGATTCAATGAAGACAATGTTGACGTCAAATACCATAAGTATCCTATCACCATATTTCGAAAGTGGATCTCAGAGTGCGTTCAGTACACCTACTCTTCAAGAAGCTAACGAAGATGAAGACGAAAACAATCAAGGTGAACGACCCGACGTACTCAACGAGCTCCACGCCATTATCATTCGATCACTCTCGGCATCGTCAATAACTACGAAAATATAAATAAATTTTGTTATGTATGTATGTATTAGTTTGTAATAACTCTTTTATTTATTTTTTTGTAATAAAGTTATTATGTATTTACCTTTTTGTAAATATTATTTATTTAATTAATATTTTTTAAATTAAATATGAACAAACTTGTCACCTCGAGGTAATGAGTTCCATGGTGACCATTGGAAATTGACCATTGTAGTTACCCGTTACCCAACGACTCAGAACGTCTATTTTTTTTTAATTCAGGGGAATTCGTCACGTCAAGGTGGCAATGTCCATCTTTTTTTTATAATTATTTAATTAATTTTAAAAATATTTTTTTTAAAAATTAATAATATTAAAATAATGATCCACGTGGATCTACTTAATTGGGACTATTAAATAATATATCTAATAGTCACCTGATGTGTCCTATTGGGCCAAATAATTTTTGGACCCTCGGTATTGTGCCGAAAAACCCTTCTTCACCTATAGCACTTGTGAGAAAGCAGACATTATGGCCGGACATGAGCAGACAGTGACCGGAGTCAGGTGGAAATGGAGAATAGTAACTAGATTTAATAAACTAGGGATTAGAATTGCAAAGAGGAAAAGAGAATAGAAACTTATTTTCCATTAATAAAAAATAATCAAAAGCATGGTTTTCAGAACCGGACCGGTTAACGAACCGGTCATGCTATCGGTTCACTGATTCAACCGGTCGGAAGAACCGGATGACATCATAATTATTTAAAAAATTAAATAAAATACCAAAAATATTTAAAAAAATAATTTTTTATATTATAAGTCATATTCAAAGCAAGTCATAACATATATAAATTAAAAACCATAAAATCAAGTGAAACAAAATGATTCAAATTAACTACAACATAATATTTAAGGTAAAACATATTAAATAATAAATATAATTATATAACTATAATTAAAAAATAAAATTGGGGCTAAAAAGTCATAACAAAACTATATTGTTTGGTTTAATTTTTTTTTAAAAACAATCACACATGGCTAAGAAACATAGAAGAGTATCCCAAAAGTCTAAAGAGTAAAAATATGAGAACAAAACAATCCCACATTGCTAAGAAACATGGAAGAGCATCACAACTAACTTCTATAAATAATAGAGGTAATTTGACATTCAAAATCATGGAGCCTTTTGGTGAGCATTGAGTGAACTATTCTTTCACTTCAATCAAGCTCGAATTTTAGGCTTCAATTGAGCTTCTAAATTTTTTTTAGTTCAAGCCTTTTTGAGTTCAAGTTTCAATATTATATTTCGAGTTCGAGTTGAACTTGATAATTTTTAACTTGTGAGTTTGAGTGGAGTTGAGCTTACTTTTAAAGTTTTCAAGTTCGAGTTGAGCTCAGCAATACTCGAGTTCGACTTGGTTCGTTTAACAAATGACATTTGGTTTAATTTTTAAAAAAAAAAAAAACAAAATTTCTGATTTTTCCGGTTTTTTTCGGTTTTCAGCCGGTCCGGTTCGAACGGTTCAACGGTTCTGACCGGTTCACTAGTAGCGGTTCAACCGGTTTAGATTAAACCAGACTAGGCAATGATTCCCGGTTGAACTGGCCGATCCGATCCGATTTTCAAAACAATGATCAAAAGGTATCTGAACCCGTTACAAGAATATGGCTTTATATAGCCCAATATCTAACAATATGCTAACTACCCAGCTAGCAACCATTAATAAATTCTTAACAATTTAATAACTATTTGTTTCGTCTAACATTCACCCGACTTCTTCAACCTTCTTGAAATTTAACCTGTGATTAGAGAGTTGATCGATCGAACAAAGGATGCAAACATAGTAAGCTAGAACTATGAGTTAATATTCTATAATTAAGGTTTGAGCATTGTTATTACGTTTTTTTTCTTCTGGATTTGGTTACTGCAGCATATTCGACTGGGTCAACTTGTCGTGGAATTGTTATTAGCCAGACTTTGTTCAGTTTTGTTTCATTTACTTCTCAACATTTCTTCACAAGCTGTTGGTGTTGTTTGTTATACTCCGGAAGGTACTGTGGTTTATGTCCACCCCTGATTGCTTCATTACATTTATAAGACTCATGGTATGTGCCTCTGATGTAGTGGTTTCGTCATTGCTTCAACGTTCATACTCCTACTTTATTTGATTTTTTAGTTTCCCTGATTGGAGATGGTTTTAGTCTTCTTGTGATCGACTTCTACTTGTTCAATGGTACAAGTGTGTCAATTTGGTTGAGAACAATGGTTTTTTTTTTGTTAAGAAGCATGATGGTCAGTTACTGTCAGTTTGGAATGCTTCATTGGATGCTGTTTCTTCTACAAGGTAGTTGGAACTTGAAGCTTTACAGCCAAGTGTCCATGGTAGAAATTATCTGAGAAGAGTTGAGTGTTTAACAGACTTACTCTCCTTAACTAGACAAAATAGGGCATCTTCTTGCCAAAGAGAGGCTTCAGATTACAATGGGAAGTTCGTAGATTAACCGCGGCCTTCTAATAAAAAGATTGTCCGAATAAGTGAAGAAGAATGACAGTAAAGATGAAGAAAAAAAAAAAAAACTCTTGAAGAAAAGAGAAAAGCTGAAGAAAGCTTCCTTCAACATGAAAACTCTTCAATGTACCTGAATTCCAGCTCATAGTTCTAGCTCACTAAGTTTGCATCTTTGTTCGATCGATCAACTCTCTAATCACAGTTTAAATTTCAAGAAGGTTGAAGAAATCAGGTGAATGTTAGACGAAACAAATAGTTATTAGATTATTAAGAATTTGTTAATGGTTGTTAGCCAGGTAGTTAGCTTATTGTTAGATATTAGGCTATATAAAGCCATATTCTTGTAACTGGTTGAGATACCTTTTGATTCATTTTTTATTAATGAAAAATCAGTTTTTATTCTCCTTTCTTTTGTAATTCTAATCCCTAGTTTATTAAAGCTAGTTACTGTTCTCCATCTCCACCTGACTCCGGTCACTGTCCGCTCATTTCCGGCCATAATGTCTGCTTTCTCGCAGTACTAGTAATAGTTTTTGTCAAGATTTTCTAAAGATGTATCTAATAAGATTTATAATATTATCACTTTTAAAAATTCTTTTTGATATGAGATTAACCTCTCTTTTTCAATGTGTGATATCTCGTCATAGGTCATCATTACAGTTCTTCACTTTACCTATCATACTTATAGAAGCTTTTGGGGTGAAATCGAATTGTCAAAGAGTCACTCTGATACCACTTGTCACGTAATCATTAATCTTTTTCAAAAAACACATCTGAAAGAATGTACAACGATACCACTTATAAACTTTAATATTTTTTAATGTAAAATTAGTGTCTCTTACCCCTTTAAAATGTGATACATTGTAGGTAAATGAAGACTGATATTTTAGTTTCCAACTATTATTGAATTGAATGCATTGAATAAAAAATACTTTAGAATTTGGTGAGTGAGACTCCAAAGAGAAGGATGGGTGATATGGGACGGTGCACGCCTCACCCCACTTCCCAGCCTACAAGGCTTTTATTCACCTTACAACAACACCAAATAAATTACACTACATTGCTAAAGCAAACCGAACTTTCACAAAAGCCTCGCCTTCCCGCACTCTAAAATTAGCAGAAGGGGAAGCATCAACCAAGCACACAAGCCAAGCAACACATTGAACAAAACCCACACAATGCCTATAAACAAACATGTTCACGATACCGAGCTATTCTCTTGACGTAACCACGGTCCCTTAGTAAGCAAGAGTCGATGCTTGAAGGAAACAGAGGTCCCTGTGAATTCCCATAAGAGTGCCAACACATTGCCTGATGGAAACCTCGAAACGACGGTTTCAACTGAATATCGATGAGATCTACGTTGGTGCAGGGGATCGCATTGCTACAAGCCAGATGGACCGGTTGCGATGTGTACGTTCCGATAATTCGGTCGTATTTAACGCAGGAAATCGCCACCTCCATCGTTTGATTCTTGCACGTGCTTGTCGCAGTAGTTCTGGTCGATTATTATGGGCACTTTCACGTCAATGACTTGAATGTTGGAAAACGAGACGTTCTTAACAGATCCCATACCTCCCTGTTTCATTAAAAAAAATAGGTTAAGTCTCGTAAAAGCTGAATTTTAATCTTAAATAAAGTAAAAAAAAAATCAGTATACAGTTATTAATTGCTTGTACCTGTCAGGTCTTGATTCTAACTCCAGCAAGTGTACGGAGCAGTGAAGTACTCTCAACAACTATATTTGATACACATCAACACTCTTCTCTTTCCCCGTCCTCCCAAATTGCAATCATAATTAAGGAAGCTGTTAGTTTCTCATTGCGGATTTTTTTTATGATTCTAGTACAATAAACTCACGCACACGTATATATATATATTAAGTTTTATTTATTTTGTTGCTTAGAAATGTTAAAAATATATTAAGATAAAATTTTAATAATAATTGAAAGATCAAATAAGATATTAGTTACTGAATTAACATACCATGTCGTCCCTTTAATGGTAAATAATGTAGAGTGGTAATTTTTTTCTATATTTCGATAAATTTATTGATGGTTTTATAATATTTAAAGTTTATTAGCTAAAACAATTAAATAATCATAGTAAAGGGACTATCATTGTCTTTAACCATTATAAAATTCGGCAGCTTCTTGGCCATTAGACGAGGAAAGCAGCGGAGGGACACTATCCATAATTTACGTGATCGTAATTGGGACACTGTCGTGAAGCATATTCGTCGTGATCAGAATGTTATTGCAGACCGGTTGGCTGTTTCGTGTCGAGGCTCACCCATTGGAACCACCTGGGGAGTTATCTTCACTGCTGCTCAAGGATTGTCGTGACTGGCTGAGACCTTTATGTTTCCTGTACTCATAAAAAGATATTCTTTCCAACAATGGAAGGCCTTTAAAGTTGGAATTTTAATGTCTTCTCCCTAAAAGTAGAATGTACCTTATCAATTCATTTGGCACTAATTAAAATATAGGGTAAACTACTCAACTGACCACTTAACTATTTAGCCCTTTTATTTTTGCCATCGATATTTCAATTTTGTCAATCACACCATATGACTATTTAAATTTTTCAATCAAGCCGCTAGCCGTTAACAGTTGATGGAAATGATGAAGTGACATTTAAAAGGAATTGGCATAATTATATTTATGTGGCTTGATTGAAATAATTAAATAGTTAAGTGGTTAACTGGTAGTGGATTTTAACTGCCACATCATCATTTTCGTCAACGTTAACGACTAGTGGCTTGATTGAAACAATTAAATAGTTATGTTGTGTGATTGATAAAATTAAAAGATCGATGGTAAAAGTAAAATGGCTAAATAGTTAATTAGTCAATTGAGTAGTTTACCCTAAAATATATTTCATATTTAAGTATTCATTTATTTCCTTGTATATATTATAATCATATTAGGTCCAAAACTATCTACATCATTCAGTAGTGATGATTTGTCTCTTATGTATCTCTTTGCACGCTTGTGGTGTGGTGTGGTGTGGGCCCCATGTCAATACAGTTCATATATTGGCCATTGGTCTCATCTTTTCCTTTTCCTTTTCCTTTTCCTAATTAAGAAAATACATATATTATCATCTCATCTTTTCCTTTTCCTAGTTAAGAATATATATATATATATATTATAACCAAAATATTCAATAAATTATATTATCCATACAATAATTTGATATTAGCACAATAAAAATAATTCAATGATTTAATAAACCAACCTCTAATCTCATGTGTTTTTTTAAATTCCTAAAGATAACTCTCTTAAGTAAACCAACCATCACCCTCAAAACTCTGAAAATCCTTAAATTACAAGAATCGTTTGTTTAATTTGATCAAAGATGGATGAATTAATTAATTATATTATCAGTTGTTCCGGTAAGAACATAGACTAATGCGAAACACGCCTCAAGCTTGGCCTATAGTTGATATTTTTCTAGAAAGCAATTAGAAATTAAGCATAGAAAATTGGAACGTGGATGACTTCTGAGGCAGCGGGTCAATTACTCCAGCTGCTCTGTCCACTCCACCGTCACCCTTAAACAATTGCGGATCTAAAAATTAAAAATAAGGTTTAAAATTCTAATACTCGATTTTAAAATGTTTAAGTGTGTAATTTTTTTCTTTATTAAGAAACTAAATTAAATTTAATATTTTTATCAAAACAACGAGTGTACAATAACTATTCTATAGAGCCATGTATATCCGTCCTGTTGGGAAATAAACCAAGTACAAGTAATTTCCCTATAACCAGATTAGTGAGAATGCAAAATAAAAGCGGAAAAATAATACCCGAAATTGATAACGGAGTTCAGCCAATTGTGCTTACGTCTCCGGACTGCTGCAGATCTTTTACTAAGAGAGAAAATTTACAGGTGTCTACAAAACACTCACTACTCACAAGAAAACTCTCTAGTATTGGGAGAAAGAAATGATTTTTTGGGATGGTTTTGAAGCTAAATGAGCTAGGGTATTTATAGTTGAAACTTAAGGACTTAATCTTGTAAATACCCTAAAACCTAAGGATTAATTGTGATTATCTCATTATCATTTTTCAACAGACATCTACCAAACTTTGAAAAACTATTTTTCAAAGAAAACATTTACCAAACTTTGAAAACTATTTTCAAAGAAACATTTACCAAACTTTGAAAACCACTTTTTCAAAGTTGGTTACCAAACTTGAAAACCATTTTAATACTTTCAACAATCTCCCACTTGAAGACTGATTTTAATATGTCTTCACACCTCGATCAATGCAACAGCTTTTCTAGTCTTGTTACTCTAGCATGCCAACTGAAGTTGAACACAACTTCAGTTTGTCTGTAGTCACCGTCTTTGTCAACATATCTGCCGGATTTTGAGCTCCACTGATCTTTTCAAGTTTCAAAATCTCATCTTCCAGAAGAGACTGGATAAAATGATATCGCAATTGTATGTGCTTTGTCCTGGAATGAAAAGACGGATTCTTTGCTAGATGTATAGCACTTTGACTGTCGCAATACAAGACATTGTTTTCTTGTTTCTTGCCTAACTCTTCCAAGAAACTTTGGAGCCAAACCATCTCCTTGCTAGCTTCCGTAACAGCGACATATTCTGCTTCAGTTGTGGAGAGAGCAACTATCTTCTGTAGTTGAGAAACCCAACTCACTGCGGTTCCTCCTAGAGTATAGACATACCCTGTAGTGCTCCTTCTGATGTCAACATTTCCGGCTAAGTCAGTATCTACATAGCCTGTCAGTATCGTATCTCCACCTTTGAAATAAAGTGCTTTGTTTATGGTACCCCGCAGATATCTGAGGATCCATTTGACTGCTTCCCAGTGTACTTTTCCCGGATTATTCATGTACCTGCTAACAGCTCCCACTGCTTGAGCAATATCTGGTCTGGTACAAACCATGGCATACATCAGACTTCCAATCGCTGAGGCGTACGGCACCTTCACCATGCGTGCACGTTCTTCCTCCGTCTTTGGTGACTGTTCTTTGGAGAGTCTGAAATGAACACCTAAAGGTGTACTTACTGGTTTAGCATCTTGCATGTTGAACTTGGAGAGTACTTTGTTGATGTACTCAGCCTGTGATAATATCAAAGTCCCTGACTTTGTGTCTCTCTTGATCCTCATCCCAAGAATCTGCTTTGCAGCGCCCAGATCCTTTATAGCAAACTGCTTTGACAATTTTTGCTTCAAGTTTTATAATCTCTTGCATGTCTGAGCCTGCAACGAGCATGTCATCAACGTACAACAATAAAATAATGAAGCTATTGTCGAACCTCTTGATATAGCAACAATGATCTGCTTGGCATCTGGTAAAACCACTGCTACTCATGAAACTATCAAACTTCTTGTACCACTGTCTAGGAGCTTGTTTTAAACCATACAAGCTCTTCTTCAACCTGCATACCAGGTTTTTCTTGTCTACCTCTATGAAGCCTTCTGGCTGCCTCATATAGATTTCTTCCTCCAAATCACCATGAAGGAAAGCTGTCTTTACATCTAACTGCTCAAGATGTAAATTCTCTGCTGCTACAATTTTTAACACCAGTCTGATTGTAGACAGTTTCACGACTGGAGAGAAAATTTCATTGTAGTCAATACCTTCTTTTTGCTAAAAACCTTTGACAACCAATCTCGCTTTGTAGCGTTTGCTCCCATCGTGCTCTTCTTTGATCCTGTAAATCCACTTGTTGTGAAGCGCTTTTTGCCTGGTGGTAATTCAGCTAATTCCCCACGTCTGATTTGATAAAAGCGAGTCCATCTCATCTTTCATGGAAGACTCCCACTTGACTGAATCCTCCACTTGCGTTGCTTCATCATAGTTCTCTGGTTCACCATTGTCAGTCAGCAACAAGTAGTGCAAAGAAGGAGAATACCGTTGGGTTGGTTTAGGAATTCTGGAGGAGCGTCTTAGTTTCGGTGTGCCTGGTTCTTCTTGAACTGCTTCAGGACTGATGTGAACATCATTTCCAGAAATCTCCTCAAACTCAGCAAATTCCTTTGTTTCAGCTTCGGTATTGGAGCTGCTTGATTCTACAGTTGACTTGTCTTTGTACATCACATTCTCATTGAAAATGACATCTCTGCTTCTAATGATCTTCCGATTTTCATAGTCCCAAAACCGGTAACCGAACTCATCACCGCCGTAACCAACAAAGGCACATTTGTTGGACTTAGCATCAAGTTTACTTCTTTCAGCAGAGTCTATGTGTATAAGAAATACAACCAAACACTCTTAAGTGTGAAAGGTTTATTTCTTTCTTGCTCCAAACTTCCTCTGGTATTCTGCCATCCAAAGGAACTGAGGGCCCACGGTTGATCAGGTAAGCTGCAGTGTTAATAGCTTCAGCCCATAGAAATTTGGGCAATCCGATATGTATCCTCATGCTTCTGGCTCGTTCATTCAGAGTTCTGTTCATGCGCTCTGCTACGCCATTCTGCTGCGGTGTCATGGGAACTGTTGTCTCCATCTTGATCCCATTGTTTGCGCAAAAATCTCTGAATCTCCTATTTCTGTAATCTCCTCCATTGTCAGACCTCAACTGCTTGACTTTCATACCATTCTCATTTTCCACCATGGCCTTCCATTTTCTGAAGGTATCAAATACTTCTGATTTTTTCTTCAGAAAATAAACCCATACATTCCTTGTAGAATCATCGATGAAGGTGACATAATATAATGAGCCTACAAGAGATGGAACTGGAGATGGTCCCCATACATCAGTATGAACTAACTCTAACTTTTCAGCCTTGGGTGTTTTACCAATCTTTGCAAAGCTGACTTTCTTTTGTTTGCCAAAGATGCAATCCTTGCATAGTCCGACATCTACATTCTTTAGATCCGGCAGCTTCCCCTTTGACAAAAGTGTCTTCATCCCTTTCTCGCTCATATGGCCAAGCCTTTGGTGCCATAGGTTTGATTTTCCATCAGCATCTGCTACTGCAATGATATTCTCTAAATTTGAGGTTACATAGAGAGTACCAGTCTTTTTTACCACGAGCAATGACAAGTGCTCCTTTGGTAATCTTCCATTCACAACCTGAAAAGGTTGTACTGTATCCTTCTCCATCAAGCTGTCCTACAGAAATCAAATTTCTTTTGAGACCAGGAATATGTCTCACTCCTGTCAGCTTCCAGGTGGTCTGGTTTGGCAGCTTTAGTCGGATGTCTCCTTTTCCGACGATCTTCAAGGTTTCATCATCAGCAAGATGAACCTTCCCAAAATCACCACTGACATAGTTCTCCATGATTTCATGGCATGGCGTGGAGTGGAAAGATGCCCCTGAATCCAAAATCCATGATTCAATCGGACTGTTGACGCTTAAAATCATGGCATCACCTGTCTCCTCCGTTATGTTGGCAGATTCCTGTGCGCCGGTATTTTTCTTCGGTACTCGGCAATCTCTTTTGAAGTGGCCCTTCTTGCCGCAATTATAACAGGTAAAATCTTTATTTCCTGTTCTTGATTTTCCCCTTCTGGATTTCGATCTGCCACGATTTGAATTTCTTTCTGAAGTTCTCCCTCTGGACTCCGTGTGCAAGGCTGAGGAGGTTGATGCTTCACCCGATTCTCTCCGTCGAATTTCTTCGCTCAGTACCAGATCCCGAACATCATCGAATTTTAATTTACTATTTCCCGACGAACTACTGATTGCTGTAACAGTAGCATTCCAACTGTCTGGTAAAGATGATAAGAGAATTAAAGCTCGAACTTCATCATCAAATTCAATTTCCACTGAACTCAACTGGGTTGTGATTGTGTTGAGTTCATTTAGGTGTTGTGCCACCGATGCCCCTTCCGTCATCCGCAAATTGAATAATCGCCTCATCAAATGAACTTTTTTTGAGGCCGATGGCTTCTCATACATACTGGAGAGAGCCGTCATAAGACCCGCCGTGATCTTTTCCTTTGCTATGTTGAAAGCAACATTGCGGGATAACGTCAGTCGGATAACTCCGAGGGCTTGTCTGTCGAGAAGAGCCCAGTCTTCATTCTTCATTCCCTCTGGTTGTTTTCCTGAGAGGGGTTGATATAGATTTTTTTGGTATAGAAAATCTTCAATTTGCATCTTCCAAAATCCAAAGTCCGCACCATCGAACTTTTCAATTTTCATATTCCCTTCGTCTGCAGCCATCGCTCCCACTCGAATCTGGTTTCGTTTGGATCGTTTCTGACAATTTTTGCGAACCGCCGTGTATTAGAACACCTCCGTTGACAAACTCGTATCGTCGACCGAATTTCACTATTCACGAAATTCACTATTTACGTGAATAGTAACCCGAATAGTAACCTCGTAAAAAATTGATAAAATTCACAACCCAAAAGCTCTGATACCAGTTGTTGGGAAATAAACCAAGTACAAGTAATTTCCCTATAACTAGATTAGTGAGAATGCAAAATAAAAGCGGAAAAATAATACCCAAAATTGATAACGGAATTCAGCCAATTGTGCTTACGTCTCCTGACTGCTGCAGATCTTTTACTAAGAGAGAAAATTTACAGGTGTTTACAAAACACTCACTACTCACAAGAAAACTCTCTAGTATTGGGAGAAAGAAATGATTTTTGGGATGGTTTTGAAGCTAAATGAGCTAGGGTATTTATAGTTGAAACTCAAGGACTTAATCTTGTAAATACCCTAAAACCTAGGGATTAATTGTGATTATCTCATTATCATTTTTCAACAAACATCTACCAAACTTTGAAAAACTATTTTTCAAAGAAACATTTACCAAACTTTGAAAATCATTTTCAAAGAAACATTTACCAAACTTTAAAAACCATTTTTTTAAAGTTGATTATCAAACTTAAAAATCATTTTAATACTTTTAACACGCCAACCATACGTTGAGAGGACTTGGGTCTTTCATTTCATGTTAACTGTTAAGGATGCAAAAGGTGCTCCTCATAATCTTGAAAAATATTATAATGAAACTCTTCTGTTTTCTTTCTCAGTCAATTGTTTTTTTTTAATCTAAACAACCTTTCATCGATGGAATTTGTCATTATACTACTCATACATATTAAAAAAATACGCGTGTTAAATCATAATTTATATATTTTATTTCTCATAATTCATTTAGTCATAGTACTCCACATCTTCTCGGATGCGCTACCCCTACTTTCTAACATTCTTTTCCAGGAACTTTCATGATCCTCCTCACTTGAGAGATCATAGTTCTATATTGTAAAGGAGTAAGGAAAATTCTACAACATTATATTAGTACCGATTAATACTATTAACGATAAGTATCAATAATTTAATTTATAAAATTTATAATTCTAAAAGATTCAACATATAATTATAAATTAGTTAAAAATTTGAAGATAAATTATTTGAAATAAATTATTAATGTAGACTCAACATAATTATAATTAGTTAAAGTTAAATGGTAAAATAAAATATTAATTACACTATTTTCATAATTTTAACAATAATTAGATCAAATACCAATCCTAAATTTAAAAAACCTAAATATTTATTTTTAAATAATTTACCTTTAAAATTTTAATTAATTTATAGTTATACGTTGAATTTTTTTAAATTTTTAAATTTTATAAATTAAATTAATGATACTCAACGAGACTCTTCGTTAATAGTGTTCAATAGTATTCATTGACCTTCTTTTTATTAAAAAAACTCACTTCAAATTTCTTTTATTCACATAAAAAGTAAACAAAAAATTATTTTATCTTTCCCTTATTTATTTGTTGACGTCCATATGTAAGTTTTAAAATAAATAAATAACTCAATAATGATTTGGTAACAGACATATAATTCAATACCATGATATCCGCCGACATGAAAGCCAGCTCTTCACATTATTATTTTGGATAAACTATGTATTTAACCATTCATCTATTCACACCATTTTATTTTATTTACATAATTATTTCTTTTAAAATTATATTTAATATTATATTCTAGTTTTTAAATGATATGTCATATGTCACTTTATCATTTTAGATGATATGACACATATCATATTCTCATTTCAAGTGACGTTGTACGTATTATATCATCACTTCAAGTGATATGATAGTGACATGTAAATAATTAAGGATATGTCAAAATATCATGTTAACAACTTGTATTAATCATTAATTAATTAACGATTTACATTCGGTATGAATTATTTTGATCAAAAATTAAAATTTAAAATATTTAAAAAAGTAAAAATCATAATGATTATTTAAACAAACATTAGGAACCAATTTTATTATTATACCAAATATTTAAAATGAAATTACACGTACACCTCGCCTCTAATTATTTTTCCCCCAAAAAAAAAAAATTGGGTAACCCTCAATTTAGGAGAAACGTTTAAAGTCAAAAGGGCAGGTAGAAAATGGAAGCAGTTGGGTCCCGCCGCTTTTCCAATTAATTTCCCACTTGTTTAATTGATGAGTTTCTTAGAAGACTCACCGATACTTCGATTTGCCCAGGATCCTTCCTGCCCCATTAATAATCGAATAGCGCTGCTTTGCTTCCTCAGATTTTCCATTCCAAGTCCTTCCTTTGACTCCTATCTGCTCCATCTCTCTCTATTCATATAGTTTGTTTTCTCTTCGATTCCTTTGCCCCCGTCATCTCGTCTTCGTTCTCTGCTGCAACTCCCTCGTATTTTCATTCCATGGAAGATAAGCTAAGGTATGACTAACGTCCTTTGTTTTTCTGGGTTTTCCTTATATTTCACATCCTTTAGTTTCTGGGTCTTATTCATTTTGGTATATTGGATGTCATGTTGAATTTAATTCAGTATTTTTTAACGTATGTTGATTGAAATTGTTTCAAACTCCTGATTGAATGAAAAGAGGATTTTCCATGAAATTAAGCTTTCTTTCACTTGCATAACCCTATACACTTCCATATTTTTTACAATGTTTTTCTAATTCGACCGCCGTGTATAATGCTATCTTCATAATCTTGAATCTAAAATCCACCCAATTATTAAACTTCAAAGTATGCTAAAAATAAGAATTATTGAATTATAATTAATTTTTTTATGAGACAAAAAACTCTAGTTATTAATTTTATTTTAATATTTAATTATAACTTGATGCATAGATATAGTGAAATGATAATATTTAAAAATTCAACTATTATTGTTAACTATTTTTATGAGACAAAAAAATATAGTTATTAATTTTATTTTAAGATTTAATCATAACTTGATGCATAGATACAGTGAAACGATAATATTTAAAAATTCATGATAAATTTAAAAAAAAGTTGCTTTTATTTTCTAAGTTATTTAAATTTTATATATGATGAATCGATATTGTTGAAGAAAGCAAAAACATTTCTTAGAATATCTGGGGTTAAAAATACAATTATACCATTGTATTAATTTACAACTTTATGGTTTCTTATGATATGTTATTAAAGTAAAATTGTAAGGGATGGAATTTGCATAATCAATTTCATTATCTTTTCAGGTTCATTGATAAATTTAGAGCTGGTGGAACTTAAACCAATTTCTTGAGCCATTGCAATACAAGTTGAAGATAGCTAAACAACTCCAAGATTCAAGCTCAGGTTGAAAAGAGAATGAATAAAGCAGCTGGATATGTTTTCATGGTTCTTATGATCGGATCTGTAGCACTACTCGGAAGAGTTCGAGCAGACCCGAGAGCCCAAATACTGAACATGACATGTGTCCCTGAAAGGGAGCATAACTCAACCATATTCGTTCCCAATTTCATTTCTTCAATGGAGAAAATCAGTGATGGTATGCGGCGGTTCGGTTGGGGAACAGCAGTTACTGGTTCAGGACCTGATGCTACCTATGGACTAGCTCAGTGTTATGGTGATCTATCTTTGACTGACTGTCCATTGTGCTATGCCGAGGCGCGTACGGTTCTTCCTCAATGCTATCCTTTCAATGGTGGCCGAGTTTTCCTCGACGGTTGCTTCATGAGAGCCTCAAACTATAGCTTCTATGAAGAGTACTTGGGAACATATGACATGGTTTTGTGTGGGAATGCAAGCCGCAAGGGATTGAACTTTCAAGCATCAGCGAGACGAGCAGTGTCGCATGCGGTGGCTACTGCACTGAATAATGGAGGGTATGCTAATACTCAGGTGGCGGTTTCAGGAACAAATGAGACAGCTTATGTTCTGGTCAATTGCTGGAGGACATTGAACCGGAGTTCTTGTCAAGCATGTTTCGAGAATGCATCAGCAGCAATGTTAAGGTGCTTGCCATGGTCAGAGGGACGAGCACTCTACACTGGCTGCTTCTTGAGATACTCCAATATAGATTTCCTCAATAAAGAACCTGGACATGGAAGTTCAAGAGGTAAAAGAAATTCCAGTTTCTTATCATCTATACCGCACGTTAAAATGTTTTCAGTAGACATCTTGGTAGGTGGATTTCATCTAAAACCATCCTGACCCAACTCTGAGAATTTTAATTAAAAAATTACTCATCTTGAAACGAACTGGATTTTTTAAATAAAACCCATCCTAAAAGATAGAATCAGAACACGGCAGGTTCGAGTTATTTTCTCAACCCTATATGGGACCAAATTCATTAGGTGACTTGATTTGTATTCATGATTTGCAGGAATCATTATAGTTATAGTAGTTTCTGCTATCAGTTCCCTGGTTGTTTTAGCTGTGTTAGCAGCTGCTGGAGTTTATATAAGGAAGCGCAGATACATACAAAAGAAAAGAGGTAAAAAGCATACTTAACTGTATTAAATGTTTTTGTTCAATAAATCCATGTGGTCACCTCAATCGTACGATTCGAAGTTCGAGATCTGCAGATTTTTTCCGTTTCCTCTACACTAGCAAAGCAAAGGAATGTCAGACAATCTAAATTATTCAATTACTTGGAATTGTTGGAATGGCGAGCCTTATCTTTGTCGCTAATATGTTTCTGAATTCCAGGTTCGAATGATGCAGAAAAGTGGGTGAAAGTCCTTCGTGATAGTAACTTAAATTTCAAGTACTCTACACTTGAGAAGGCTACAGGATCGTTCGATGAGGCAAATAAGCTTGGGCAAGGAGGATTTGGGACAGTTTATAAGGTAGTTTTTCCACGGATGCCCGCTGCTCTTCTTCGGGCTTCGGCATTTAACCAGTTTGTTATGGTCAATGATTCATTTGTCATTATGTAGGGAGCTCTACCTGATGGAAGAGAGATAGCTGTCAAGCGGCTTTTCTTTAACAATCGACACCGAGCTGCAGATTTCTACAATGAAGTCAACATGATAAGCAGTGTGGAGCACAAAAACCTAGTGAGATTATTGGGATGTTGTTGTTCTGGACCCGAAAGTCTTCTCGTCTACGAGTTCCTCCCTAACAAGAGCCTCGATCATTTCATCTTCGGTGAACACCAGTACTTTACCTCCAATATTGATGCCAAAGCTTAAATCTATACTGATATACCACTAACAGTTTGTTTTAACCTTCCGGAAGCATAAACAGATTCCAGCAGTGGGAAAGACCTTACCTGGGAACAGCGATACCAAATTATCATCGGGACCGTAGAAGGTTTAGTCTATCTTCACGAGAACTCCACAAACAAAATCATTCACAGAGATATAAAAGCAAGTAATATTCTTCTGGATTCAAAGTTCCGAGCTAAAATTGCTGATTTCGGTTTGGCAAGGTCTTTCGACGAAGATCAGAGTCATATCAGCACTGCCATTGCCGGAACATTGTAAGCATCATCTTTTTATGTACGTTACACACACTATTAACATTTTAACATATTCTATCTCATGTTTGAACTATTAATTTCTACTTTTACGATCCACAGGGGATACATGGCTCCGGAATACCTAGCCAATGGGCAGTTAACGGACAAGGCCGACGTCTATAGTTTTGGAGTGCTGTTACTTGAGATCATAACCGGAAAGCAAAACAACAGAAGCAAAGAGGTGGACCACTCAGACAGCATAATTGCAACCGTAAGCTTCAGACAGTACCTCCTAAAATTTTCCCACATGAAGCATAACTTTAAATAAAGCTGATTTCCTTTTTTTTTTTTAATTTCTTCTTCGGCAAACAGGCATGGAGTCACTTTCAATTAGGGACCGCCGAGGAGATTTACTATCCAAATCTAATGTTAAACGATACCAGCCAATGTAGTGAAGTCAAGAATCAGATATACAGAGTACTTCATATCGGGCTTCTTTGCACCCAAGAGGCTCGATCACTAAGACCATCGATGTCGAAGGTACTGCAGATGCTAACCAAGAAAGACGAAGACCTCCCTGCACCAACTCCTCCTCCTTTTATGGACGAAAAGACAATGGAATTCAACGACACGAGCGAACGATAGCTATCCACTCTATGAAGTTGGTAATGATTCAATTGCCACCATGGATCACAGCTCCTTCTACCCAAGATGATGTTTAAAGGCAGACGAAGGTGAAAGAGTATATTCTTACTTAAAATACAATTCATAGTTTTGGTAATGGGAAAGCTCTTGAGCAAAACAGCCAGGTAGAATTGTACTATTGTAATTTGTCCTCAAATTGCAGAATGACATCAGATTATTGTATAATGTACCATGAAAAATTTTGCTGATATGTAACTCTTGGACCGGTATGGTCGTAAGTTCTGTGGTGAATCATTTTTAATACGACTCGTCGATCATTATTAATTTAGTTTTTTAATAAAAAATTAAATGAAAATTCTAAAAATCATTTTTAATAAAACATAACAAAATATTCTTATAATTTGCAGTCCCTTTATGAGTTTGATTTTCTAAAAATATAGAATATGATCATGATTTAAAAATACTATGTACAATTAACTCTTTTCTAGGTTGTTCAAAAGTGAAACAAAAGCTTCACATTCCATTTGTTATGGAATTAGAGTGGTGGTGGTTAATGATCCATGTGACTTTAGATGATAAAATCCATAGTTTAAGTTAACCAATAAAATAATGCATGAGAACCTAAAATTATATAAGATACTAAACACACTAAATTTTAAATGTAAAAAACAAAAATAAATACAACAAAACAAGTAAAAAAAAAATTGGAATAAATATTTTAATTATGGAAAACTATAGCAGTAGACCATTTTATTTTCAGTCTGACCGATTTTGATCACTATTTTTTTTAATTAAGTGTGTTTATCGATCTATCTTATTTAAGTCATTTCACCATTAACTTCCGTTAACTCATTAACAGATATATTATACGGAAATTTTAAAATAAAAAAATCCACATTCACCAACCGTTAGGTGACGTGATAATTTTAGAAAAATAAAAAATCTCACTTCTTCTTCTTCGTCTCCGCCTATTATTTATTCTCCATCCATTATTTCTTCTTCTTCCTCCTCTGCACGTGGGTATAAACTCTAAAGACTTAAACCCAAATCACCAAAAGTGGTCCCAAGTTGTAAAGAACCACCAACAAAAACCCACCATACCCTCCACGCCAAAAAAATCATGGCTCCTTAACGTTCAAACCCTTTCCTCCCTATCAAAACCAGAATCTTCATCTCCTTTCTCTCCAACCTCACCGACGCCGCCTGCTGCTCTGATGGCTCCATCAACCGCCGTCTCCTCTGCTTATTCAATTTCCAGGTCACCCGCAGTCTCAATCCCAAGCCCTCCAGCTCCATCTCCACTTCTGACACCACAGTCGATGCTTTTCGTAATCTCTGGTTTAGACTCTTCTCTCCTTTCCTCCCCTCGGATATTCTTTTTTCGTCGTCTTTTTCTTCCACGACAGTGGGTTCACCTTCCTCAGCCCGGCTTCCACGGGTTACGACGCCGTTTGTCGTAGATTTGGCCGTAAGTTCCCAGCTTTCATCGTCTCCATCAACTACCGTCTCACTCCTGAACATACCTACCCGTCCCAATACGACGACAGATTAGACGTTCTCAAGTTCTTAGACGATAACTGCAACGTTTACTTACCCGAAAATGTCGACTTTTCACGGTGTTTCTTGGCCAGAGACAACACCGGCGGAAACATCGCTCACAAGTCACAATGTAGTTGTCCGAGCCTGCAAAAGGAATTCAAAACAATGAAACTTAGGAGACTCGTTTGCATCCAACCGTTCTTCGACTGGAAGAAGAGAAGATAGGCGGAGGTGGAGCTAGTTGGTGCACCACTGAAATCCGTTCCGAGATCGGATTTTTGCTGGAAAGCGCTTTTGCCAAAAGGGTCGAGCAACCGTGACCACTCAACGGTGAATGTGAGAGGACCCAACGCCGAGAATATAACAGGGTTGGATAGCATAATTATTAATGTATGATTTTCGATGTTTGATAGCATAGTTGTTAGTGGGTTATCCAGTTATCCTCCATTTCCACCCACTTTAATCCAAATCTAATACTCCATTTGTAGTCTTTTAGAAACGAAGGAAGCTTTGAATGATGGAGCTCATGGTTGCTGGCCTATGGTGAGAAACTAGATGGCTAAAAAGATTTGGCGATGGCCGGTAGTTGTGCCATTGCTGCCAGGAGAAAGAAGAGACGAAAAAAAAAGAAGGGATAAAGGTGAAATGTCAGTGTTCACAGCTCCATTACAGCCTGTTTTTATTCCAATTTCTTTCATCGAGCTATCAAGGCTTACAATACTGGAACTCAGAAACGTCGAACAATCCATGGTGATTATTTTGGAGAAGAAGAAGAGAATGACATGTGAGTTTTACACGTGGAATATTTTATTTGTTAATGGGTTAACGGCTGGAATTAATTCGGACGGATCGATAATGTAAGGGACCAACGTATTAATTAAAAAATTAATGATTAAAATCGATCAAACTGAAAACAAAGGTGACTAGTTTACCTTTTAATTATTTAAATGATAGAAGTTTTAGAATTAATATTAAAAACCATTCATATAAACATAATACTTAGAAAGGAAACTCGATGATATAGTTTCTTTAGGGTTTAGTTGTTATTTTGTTTTCTTCCTTGCCCTTTGTGACAATAAACAAGTCCATGTCAAGAATCAAACTTGCCTTTGACTTTTTTGTCTTGATAAAAACAGAAAGTAACAGCCAGTGACTCCTTCCGAGATGACAGGCAGAATCTCTACCATTAGTTTTTTTAATGTTTTTTTAAGGGGTTAGATTGAAGGTTTATCTTTAAGATTTATTTAAGGTTTAAAATTTACTTCTTTTCCACCATGCTTATTCATGCAGACATCATGTCAGCTAACATGTTTGATATTTTAATAATGTTAACTATCAGAGTATAATTTGCTAAGTATAATCAATCATATGATCTATTAATATGAATCGAATATAACATACGAGAGATTGAAAGTCAAATGTTTGAAGTCAACGGATGGGAAGAAATGGGTACCCCGTTTTCTCCGGTATGTAAGATTATTAATTTATCACTTGTTTAATTGACTTGGATTCTTTAATCCCAAGGCTTTGGCGCTTCCTACCCATTAACAAGGGAAATGGCGCAGCCATGCTTTGATTCCGATCCTTACTTTGACTTGCATCTCTTTGCATTATATAGCTTCAATTCTCTGCCCAAACGGATCTTCTTCGTTTCTGCAACTCAGCTCCCAGGAAGTTAAACCAAGGTATGGATAACATCCTTCTTCTTTATTCAGATCCTCCTAGTTTTTTTCTTCTTCTTTCTGTTTATGGTGATTGAAACTGTCTACGCTTCTTAGTGAAGTTATTTCGGCATCGAATTCAATTGCATAACCTTTTTTTGGTTTTTTTTTTAAATTTCAAGCGCAGTGTAAAACAGACTTCTTCTCATTAATTTTTTTTTTTTTTATGGATTTTATCATTGTATTATCTAAGAATTTTATAATCTTCGGCAAAATTAACAATAGTTTTATGATTTTTGAGAGGCCTGTATATATTTTGGGGTAAAAAACACGGTTGACCATCTAACTATGATCATAAATTATTTTGACCATCAATGTTTAAAAATGATCAATCAGATAACCAAACTATTTAAATGGTTCAATCAAACCACTGACCGTGACAGTCAATACAATTGTCATAATTATATATTTGATCTATCAGTTTAATCACTATTTTAATTCAATTAAATAAATTTAACCCTCTAATCCGAAGGTACCATGTGTAACTATATGATTAGAAGGTTCATTTAATTAATTTAATAGAAGAGAGCTTAGTGGATTCAAGCCAAGGACTCCTAGGTTCTCTAGGCAAGCCTTTACCACTGGGCCAATCCATTTATTTAATTTTAAAGTGCATAATCTTGTATATATTATGTTTGAGATTATTTTACACAAATATATATATATATATATATATTATTATAGTTAATGTAAGACTTAAAAATAAAAATGAGTTTAATATTTTTGTTATTTTTTTATAATTATTTTTAAATAATAATATAAATTATATTAAAAATAAAATATAATAAGATTATTTAGAGAATCCAATCACAAAATAAAATAAGTTTAATATTTTATTTAAATTTTTTACAATTTTTTAAATAATAATATAGAAATTATATTAAAAATAAAATTATTAAAATTATTTAGAGATTACCAATCACAAAATAAAATAAGTTTAATATTTTGATTTAAATTATTTTAAGTTATTTTAAATAATAATATATAAATTATATTAAAAATTATATTAAAATTATTTAGAGAATCCAAATCATAAAATAAAAATAATTTAATTAAAAAATAAAATCAATTTTATTTTTAAGTCTTAAATTGACTATAATTTAATATATATGTGAAACATAATTTATTTATTAGAATTATTTTGATAATTTAATATATAAAAGCTTGTGCACTTTGAAATCAAATGGATGGTTAGCCTAGTGGCAAAGGCTTGCATAGGGAACCTAGGGTCATTGGTTCATATCCCCCAAGTTCCCTTTTATTTTAATTTGTTTTCCCTTACACTAGTGGTGGCACGTGTCACCACCTGATTGGTGAGAAAATTTATTAAATTTACTTGAATTAAGATAGTGACTAAATTGATACAATGTGTAAATATTAAAGATCAAATATATGATTATGCCAATTTGATTAACTACCACGTAAGCACATCTGTTAAAAATTAACGGTCAGTGGCTTGATTGAACCATTTAAATAATTGAGTGGTTTGATTGATCGTTTCCAAAAGTTGGTGGGCAAAATGATTTATGAATATAGTTCGGTAGTCACCCGTGTAGTTTACCCTATACTTTATGATGCTATATTATTAAGGGTAAACTACAAAAATGGCCACGTAACTATGGGCCAGGTCTCGAAATGACCATCATTTTCAGAATTGTCATAATTTTACCACTGGACTATTTAAATGGGTTCAAAATAACCTCACGACGATAACATTTAACGGAGGTGTTTACGTGGTAGTTAAAAAATTGGTATAATTAAGGCCCGAGTCTTTGTAAAGTTACGTATTCGCGGCGCTGACACCCTACTTTATTTTCTTCCATTTTGGTCACTAATTTTATATGATTTGTTTCCTTGGATTTTCATTTAATCCAATTTGATCCTGATTTTGTTTTTAATTTGTCTAATGCCTTAATTTAGGCATTAACTTTAAAATCTTTATTCTAGTCATGTGTAGATTAATCTGCTAGATTTTAGAATTAAATCAATTTGATCACCAGATTAGCTCTAATTCTTAATTTTTAATTA